TTTTTGTTATAATGCATCCATGAATTCCCTTAAAATCATATTGTTCTTGAGAAGTTTTAACAATGCTAAAAGAACACGTTCCGAGAGGCTGACTTCCTTGAAGTTTTCGCCTCAATCAGGTGATTTTGTCAGGCAGACTCCCTTGGAGTTGGTGTGGCATAAACTGAAATGGAACAGGTTAACAGGGGCCTAAGTACCTGAGAACTTTTGGACCTTTTAAGGATTTTATACATTATCATCTCTGTTCATTGAGATAAATAAAATATTGGGCCAGGGAGACATCAGATGATATATCAAGATTTACATTTTAAAAGAATTTTTGTTAAAAAAAAAAGAATTTTTGTTATAGAGTAATGGTTAGAGATCTATGGTAATGAGATTGATTAAATGATGGTAATTCTTAACCAGAATGAAGGTAGTACAAATGAGAAGAAGTTATTGTATTTACAAGACAATCAGAAAATAAAATCAATGAGTCCTAGAAAGAAATTGGATGTCATGGTCATGGTCATGATGATGAGAAGGGGACCCAAAATTGAAAGGACAAAACTTTAAAAGAGTAATTATTTTTTCCTGTTATACATAAGGTTGTCAGAAATTGAATCTATCTGGAAGGCAATTAACAATAAAAAATGAGACTTAAATATGTCAGAAATTATTTAATAAAACAGAAATCTTATAGAAAAAAGATTAAAGAGGAAGACGTTAAACGAAAGGCATTCTAGCTAGAAGAACATGTTAGAGATGATGGAATAGAGGTGTGAAATAGGATGGTGGTTTATGGTTTATATGGCTGGAACATTGGATGCAATTGAGGAATGATAGGTAATGGAACTGAATATTTTGATTGTATTGCTGTATAAATCTAGTATTAACTAGAATTAGGTGTTGATGAGACTTCCTCTAGTCCTAATGCCACATTCCTCTTCATAGAGTCCACCTTCTCAAATGATTTGCTCAGCGTATGGATTAAATAGACATGGAGAAAGGATACAGCCCTGATGTACACCTTTCCTGATTTTAAACCATGCAGTCTTTCCATGCTCTGTACAACAGTCTTCTTAATCTAGGTATAGGTTTCATCTGAGCATAGTTGTCTGGGTTTCCTGTTCTTCTCATGGTTTGTTATGATTCACACAGTCAAATGCCCATGCATAGTCAATAAAACACAAATGGACATTCTTTTGATATTCTCAGCTTTCATCCTGGATCCATCTAACATCATCAGTGATATATAGCTGGTGCCACAGCCTCTTCTAAAGTCAGCCTGAACTTTGGCAGTTCCCTCTCAATGTTCTGTTCTATCCATTTTTGTATGCTCTTCAGCAATATTTTGCTTGTGTGATATATTAAAGATATTGTTTTATAATTTCCACAGTCTGTTGGATCACCTTTCTTGGGGATGAGAACAAATAAGGATCTTCAGTTGGCCAAATAGTTGTCCTCCAAGTTTCCTAGCATAAACTGGTGAGCATGTCCAAGACTGCATTGGTTAGTTGACATAAGTCAATTGGTATAGTGTCAATTCCCAGGGACTTATATTTTGCCTTCAGTGCAGCTTGAACTTCTTCCTTTACCGTTGACTCTTGTTCATATGGTACTTCCTGAACTTTTTTATTGTCAGCCAATTCCATTTAATATGTTGTTGTTGATTGCCTTCGAGTCGAGCATGACTCATAGTGACCCTATGAACAAAAAAAAGCCTGAAGCCCCTCTACAACTATCAGCATTTATCAAAGAGTTTCTGGAAATATATTGTTTAGGAGGTGGATGCCACTCCTGCTTCCAAACCTGTCATAGAATGTTATTGGTTGAGTCACCTGTAACACATAGCAACCCTATGTACAGCACCTCTGAACCCTTCCCTGTCCTGAGCCAGTCTCAGTAATTCTGACACACCAAACCCCATTGCCCCAGTCACTGTATCAGTCCATCTCATCTGGGGTCTTTCTCTCCTGGGCTGTCTATTCACCCTTCCAAGCATGATGTCCTTCTCCAAGGACTGATCTCTACTGGCCACGTGCCCAAAGTAAGTGTGGCAGAGCTTCAAAATCCTAGCCTTCAAGGAGAAACTTGGTTTCACTGTCTCCAAGACAGACCTATTTGTTTTCTTGGCAGTCCATGGTATGTTCAAGACTCTTCTCCAGCACCACAACTTGAAGGCATCTATTCTTCTTCTGTCATCCTTAGTCATTGTTCAGCTCTCTGAAGCATAACAAGTAATTGAGAAGACCATGACCTGGATTAGGTGCACCTTTATCTCTAGACTGACATCATTGCTCCTCACTCTGGAGAGGTCCATGACAGCAGATTTTCCCAATGTAATTCGTCTTTTGATTCCCTGACTGCTGGTGTTAAGAGTGTTGATTGTGGAGCCAAGCAAGCTGTAATTGCTAACAACCTCAATCTCTTCTCCGTCTATCGTGCTTCCAATTGGCCCAGTGGTGAGAATCTTTGTCTTCTTGATGTTAAGCATCAATCCATATTGAAGACTACAGTCCTTGACCTTTTGCAGCAAGTGCTCCAAGTCTTCTTCAGTTTTAGCAAAGAAGGTTATGTCATGTGCATATCACATGTTGTTAATGAGTCTTCCTCCAATCTTGATGCCACACTCCTCCTCATAAAGCCCTGCCTCACAAATGATCAGTTCTGCATACAGACTGAGAAGGCATGGGGACAGGTTGAATCCCTTATGCACTCCCTTCCTTATTTTGAACCATGCAGTGTTCCCTTGCCCTGTACTGAGGACTGCTTCTTGGTCCAAGTATAGATTTCTCATAAGCATGATCAAGTGCTCTGAGATTCCAATTTTCCTCAAGGTTAGCCACAATTTGTTGTGATCCACACAGTCAAATGTCTTTGCATAATCAATGAAACACAGATATACTTTCTTCTGGTACTCTCTGCTCCCTGTTAAGATCCATCTGACATTGGCAATAATGTGCCTAATGCTACAACCTCTTCTAAACCCAGACGAATTTCTGGTAGTGCTCTGTCAATGTACTGTTCAAGTCTTTTCTGGATAATCTTCAGCAGGATTTTGCTAGAGTGAGGTATTAATGATACTGTTCAATAATTTCCACACTCCGTTGGGTAACCTTTTTTTTAGAATGGGAATAAATAGTCAGTTGGTCAAGTAGTTGTCCTCCAGATTTCTTGGCACAACTTGGTGAGCACATCCAGGGCAGCATCTGTTTGCTAAAATACATCAACTGGGATTTCATCAATTCCTGGGGCTTTTATTTTTTGCCAAGTCCTTCAAAGCAGCATCTTTCAGCACCATTGCCTCTTGCTCATATGTTGTTTCTTGAAATTCTTCTGTGTCAGCCAATTCTTTTTGGTGCAATGACTCTATACTCCTTCCATCTTCTTTTAATATTTCCTGAATCATTCAATATTCTGCCCATAGCATCCTTAAGCATTGCAACTCATGGTTTGAATTTATTCTTCAGTTCTTCAATTCTTTCAGCTTAAGAAATGCTGAGTGAGTTCAGCCCTTTTGATTTTCTGACTCCTTGCACATTTCATTATAATATTTTGTCTTGTCTTCCTCAGCTGCCCTTTGAAATCTTCTATTCAGCCCCTTAACTTCTTGATTTCTTCTCTTTGCTTTGGCTTCTCAGCACTCTATTACAATATTCAGAGTCTCTTCTGACATCCATTTTGGTCTTTTTCCTTCTTTTTAATGAATTTTTGCATTCTTCATGAGAAATATTCTTGGTATCTTATAGTGCCTCTGTATTCCTTCCACCTTCTTTTAATGTTTCCTGGATTATTCAGAATTTTACCCATAACATCTTTCAGCATTACAGCTTGGGACTTGAATTTGTGTTTCAGTTCTTTGAACTTGAGAAATGCTGAGCAAATTCTTCCATTTTTATTCTCCAGCTGCAATTCTTTGCACCATCCCATTATATTACTTTGCTTTATCTTCTCAAGCTGCCCTTTGAAATCTTCTCTTTATCTCTTCTACTTCTACGTTTCTTCTTTGTTTTAGCTTCTTGATGCTGCAGTACAATTTTCATGTTCTCTTCTGTCATCCATTTGGTCTATTCTTCCTCTGTTTTTTTTCTCTCTATTATTATTATTATTATTAATTTTAATGAAAATGTATAGAGACTTTCTGTTTCCATTCATTCATTGTTGCACTTTTCTCCCTGCCCACCCCTTCCCCTCAGAAAAATTCTTGCACCCCACTGTGCAGCCTTCATTCTGGACTCCTGTCATGACAATAATACCTAATCATATATCCCTTTTAAACAGTTATCTCCCTCATCTGTTTCAATGCATTATACATAATTTATCCCATCTTTCTCAGTCTCCCCCCAAACCCGATGTCAGTCCCGTTTTACAACAGTAGCACTATGCAGTATTTGTCCTTTTGTGACTGAGATATTTCACTCAGCATAATGTCCTCCAAGGTTGCCCATTTTGTATAATATTTAATTAATTCCTTGGTTTTCAATACAGCATAATATTCCATTGTGTGGATATACCAGAGCTTCCCTATCCATTTCTTTGTTGATGGGCACTTAGGTTTTTTCCAACTCTTTTCTATTGCAACCAAAGCTGTGCTCCTTTCTCTTTATGACATTTTTTTTTGTTCTCTCTATGGGATATCTATTTCGTGTCATCCCATAACTCATCTGGTCTTCAATCAGTGTTAAAGGCCTCAAACCTTTTCTGGGGATGATTTTTAAATTCAGGTGGGATAGACTCAAGATCATGTTTTTGGTTCCTGAAGGAATGGTTTAAATTTCTTCACCTTCTATTGATGGTCTGTTCCACATCAGCACCTGGCCTTGTTTTGACTGCTGATACTGAGCTTCTCTAATGATTTCTTGCACAGATATAGTCAGTCTGATTCCTGTGCAGTCCACCAGGCAAAGCCTATGTGTAAAGTCACCTATTGTGTTTCTTAAGAAAGACATTTGTAAAAAAAAAATAAAATAAAAAGAAAGACATTTGTAATGTATAAATCATTGAACATACAGAATTTAATCATTCTATGTCCAGCCTCTTTTCTGTAACTAAGATAATTCTTTTTTTGTTGCTGATTTCATTGTTCATCTTCTTTTTAAAAAATTTATATTGGTTTACATGCAAAATTTGTGTATAGTGTGTTTCACACTCTTCTTTATTCACATTGTGTTTCATACAATCATTCCCAAACATTGCATTTTATAAAATTAATCACCATTGAATTATGCCCACCATTATCTCTTTTCAGATCCTCACACATCTTCACCATTTCCTTTACCCTCTCCCTCCATCCAAAACTGACTACTTCCTTCCTAATTGTTTCTAACTTGTGAATTCCAATCATTCATTAATGCATCTTGATTGTTTGGTCAGTTTTGGACTGTAAAAGTTTGTAGAAATCCCCACTCTCCTCCTCTTTGACTAGGAGAAAGTGAGGATGATTTGAAATGCTTGCTAAAGAAGATCAAGGACTACAGCCTTGAATATAGATTTTATGTCATCAACAAGAAGAGAAGAATCTTCTCCACTGTACCTATAAGCAACATCATGATAGATGGATAAATAATTTAAATTGTCAACAATTTCACATTGGGTCCACAATCAACAACCTTGGTGCCAACAGTCAGGAGATCAGAAGTATTGCCTTGTGAAGTCAGATGTCAGGGACCTCTCCAAATTACTGAGGAGCAGTGATGTTAGTCTGAAGACTAAGGTGTGTCTGATTCAGGCCATGGTCTTTTCAGTCACGTGCTATGCATCTGAGAGCTGGAAAGCAAATAAGGATGACAGAATTGATTCATATAAGCTGTGGCGTTAGAGAAGAGTACTCAATATCCCATGGGCTGTCAAAAGAACAAGCAGATACATCTTGGAGAAGGTGCAGCCAGAAAGCTTCTTGAAGTCAAAGATGACAAAACTTCATCTCACATACTTGAGGCATGTTGCTAAGAGAAGCTGTTCCTTGGAAGGAATATCATATTTTGAAAGCTGAAGGGTCAGAGAAAGAGAGAAAGGCCCTTGACGAGATGGACTGAAACAATGACTGCAACGATGGGCTCAAGTGTCAGAGATTATGAGGATGCTAAAGGAAAGGACAGGGTTTAGATCTCTTGTTCATAATGTCACTTAGTTGCTCAGATATTTTCATTGTTATGAACAATATCCATAGGCATGGAGTTCTCCAACTGAAACAAATAAGAGTCTCTCAGGCAGAACTGTATGTAGACAACTTAGTCTTAAACCCTTATATTTTCTTAGGCAGAATCCTTATACCACTTCATCAAGCTACAACAAGGGAATCACTTATAGTTTAGTAGACTTTAACTTATTTTAACCCATGTGTATAGGACTCTGTATGATGAGGTTGCCAGGGACCCACTCCCTTATTTTGTGTTTTTGTGAGGAGAGGTTAGGGGGAAAACTCTGTTCTCTCAGCTTTTCTCTCATGGCACCAAACCTCTACCCAATGAGCAAGATGGTGAATAGCAGGTAAAGCACCAGTATTCTTGGCTTGCTATGCTTGGAGTAGAGCTTTTACCCTACTATATGTGAGGCCTGGATAAAAACAAGACACTGTCCTCTTGGCCACACCTGCCTGACCTAGAGATGCTACAACATGGAACTGGGGTGGGAATGACAAATTCTAGCAGCCTTTTCCTCTTGGGGTGAAACCACAGCTCAAGACTGGGAACTGGGAAAATAGGTAGTCCCATCATCATCACCACACTTGAGTAGATCATCTGATAGCAAACTTTCCCAGAGACGAAAGAGTGAAGCAGGAGATCATGGCTCAAATACTGCAAACTGTTCTTAATGAAATGTTCTATATTTTCCCGAATGGGTGTTTCTCCATCTGCTGTATGCCCTTAGAATAATTTCCAGAGACTATATGATTGTTTTATTCATTATTACCAATTAGTTATTTTTTGTTGAAGAGAGTGTCAGCTGAGCTCTTTTTTTATTCTAGAAGACTCTCATTATTTTCACAACTTCCTGTAATTTATTTTTAATTTAAAGATTACAATAACCGATTGGTTATAACATTATAGAAATTATTATGTTTGGTTGGAGCTCTGGTGGCTGATTGGTAAGGAGTGTTGCTGCCAAAACAAAAGAAAAGGAGGTCTGAGGAGCTGATCCATTGTCTTTATGTGGAGATGTATGCATATGTGTAACTGAGTATATCTTCATTACCTGCAGATTCGTTCAATCAATTCACATCCACCAGCTGCACCGTGGGAGAAAGATGGACAGTCTCCCCTGAAGTGATTCGCTGTCCACTGGAGGATTAGCTATTAGTCCATCCAGACTTGATAGTAGATAACAAAAACAATTATGTTTTGATTTTTATATTCATGATGTTAGTAGAAAATGAGAATATTTCATCTTCAATATTTTGTAAGCATCTTGGAAAATGATGTGTAAAAATTCCCAAGAAACTGTTTTGTGCTTACTGAAGATCATGCATATAGAAAAGGAGGTCTGAAGAGCTGATCCATTGTTTTTTATGTGGAGGTGTATGCATATGTATAACTGAGTATGTCTTCATTACCTGCAGATTCGTTCAATCGTATGGAATGCAGATGACAGCAAACTGATTTCTGGTGGCACAGATGGTGCTGTATATGAATGGAATCTGAGTACAGGAAAAAGAGAAACAGAATGTGTGCTCAAGTCTTGTAGCTATAACTGTGTTAGCATCTCTCCTGATGCCAAAATTATTTTTGCTGTTGGATCAGACAAGACCTTGAAGGAGATTTCTGATTCTTCAGTGAGTATGTCCCTGCTATTGCCACTGAACTGTGGAAGATAGATTCTCTGTGTTTAGAGTAGAAAAGATGTATGGGTTGAGGGCTAGTAAGAACAGAGTGTCTTCATCCTGGAACAGCCTTGGATCCACATTCCTGGTAATTCAACTCATTTATAGCCACTTCGTGAATTTCCAGTGCAGTGCCCTACCTATGTTCAATTGTAGGATCTTTCCCCATTCCCCTTTTGCTTACTTTCTGGAACTTCTCTTCCACTCTCTAAGCATGAGGGTTAGTGATATACCTAAATTATTCTTCACCCTTTTGTCTGTATCAAATTTTCTGGGATAAGAATAGGTTTATAGTCAGTTGCTATCACCTAGTTGCTAACTGAAAGGTCAGTTGTTCAAACCTACCATGGGAGAAAGGTATCACAGTTTAATTGCATAATTACATCCTTTGACAGTTCTACTTTGTCTCACAAGGTCACTAGGAGTTGGAATCAACTCATAGTTGCTAGTGTCTTGCAAAGTACAAAGCACCTGCTGCGGGAAACTGACCTAGTCCTTACCCAAACCCATTGACAGCAATGAATTTGGTTTGAGTTTTTGGCTTTTCACGTAGGCTTGCAACTATATTCCTTTGAAATCCCCAAACTCTGAAACTTTGAAATTATTACATTTGGTTCCAAATAGTTGAAGGAGACGAGAAGAGCTCAGCAGACATGATACATACTGCTGTCTCAGTAAACAAGTATAGTTTGTGCTTTGCTCAGAGCAAAGACAGGGCTTCAGTTCTTGCTTTCCATAAGTGCTGTCAGTCTTATGTTGCTGGTGCCTCACAAAGTACAAAGCTCCTACTGCAGGAAACTGACCTGAGGCAGATTTCTCCATGACTGGGACACGTCTTAAAGTAGGATGTCACTCCTGTGTACTCCCAAGTAGCCAGGTCCAGATCCTTTGATGACTTTTATATAGTTCTCTGCCAGATTAAAGCTCTTTAAGGCTGGGCCTGTAATAATACTCTTCTTGGTAACCTTTACTAGTTAGAATATTGTGTGACCCACAGCAACACTCACTAAATGTTTGGTGAGGTGGATGGATGAATATATGAATATAATACTGCTTATATCATAGATACTAACAAATGTTTGCTGTGTAAATTCATAATGAACCTCACATTCTTAGTTTGAGATGCACCTCAGTGCAGCAATCCAAAACACAAACTGAATACAAACTGCCACTTATTATCTAAGTTTGGGCAGGTTACTTAATACTTCTGTGACATTGTCTCATCATTTAATAAATTATAAAAATTGTATCTACCTCAAAAGATTGTGAGGATCAAGTGAGTTACAACATGTGTAAGATGCAAAAAACTGCTTCACACAAAGTAAGTGCTATATAACAATATACTGTTTTGGGGGGTTTTTTTGGTACCAGTAATATATTTAATTTGCATGACTAAATTACATTCTCATGGTAGAAGTAAGCTCTATTGCCTGTGATATATACATATTTTAAACTTTGAGATGGCTTAGTTATAATGAAACCATAAATATTTTCAGTCTAATAGCCTTTGTTGTTTGCTATTGATTTGGTTCTGATAACGATATACAGTTAATCCCATTGTTCCTACCTTCTAGAACTAGACTTGTTCTTCCAGACAACAAAGAAATGTATGGATTTTGCCCCTAGGTTGCTATAAGAAGAGAGGAAGACAATGGCATGGGGACACTGGGAACAGGGCGAGCCCCCTCCCCTCACTGACCAGAGAGCTGTCTGTGTTTCAGATCCTTCGAGAGATGTCAGCATTTGATGTCATCTACACAGCCATTGTCATCTCTCATTCTGGACGCATGATGTTTGTGGGCACCTCAATGGGAACCATTCGTGCAATGAAGTACCCTCTGCCTTTGCAGAAAGATTTTAATGAGTACCAGGCTCATGCTGCTTCTATCACTAAGGTGAGTGGGGTGCCCTCTCCTTGAGCCTCAGTGTCAAACGAGTTTGTGATATGTAAATTTGATCCTGCCTTTCACATACCTTCTTTGTCCTTTCAGTCTCTCACCATCTCTTTATTTCTTTTCCCAAGATTTATTCATCCAGCCAGCCACTTAGTGAGCATTTATGGCTATTAATACCCTTTGTTTAAGCCATTTTCTAAGGACCCTTGATTAAGTACTTGACTGCTAATTGGAAAATGAGTGATTCAAACTCACTAGCCACTCCAGGAGAGGAAAGATCTGATAATCATCCCTGTAAAGGTCTCATCACCCAGGAAATCTTACAGAGCAGTTCTCCTCTATCCTATATTCCTGTATTACAGAGGAATATATAACATAGGATATCCTCTAACCTATATTCCACTAGGAGTTGGAATCAGCTGGATGACAAAAAAGAGCAGAACAAATAACTTCTAGGAATTTATGATCAGACACTTAAATATTTATGTACCAGATTGTTCACCATAATATTATGAAGAATAATGCGCCTTTTAATAGATGCTGTCAGTGCTCCTTTCCACCCAGATTGCCATAACTTGGTTAGTGCATTCATCCCTGATCCCCTAACTGCTGTGAATATTGGCTGCTAAGAGCACACAGCTCTTTTTCACTAAGAAAATTACCTTGGGCTAAAGAGAATTACTTAAGGAGCCTTGGTAGTGCAGTGCACAGCATATAAAGCTGCTAACTGAAAGATTGGCAGTTGAAATCCACCTGCATTCTGTGGGAGAACTATGAGTCATCTCTTCCTATGAAGATTTACGGGCTTGGAAGCCAAGGGAGGGTTACCATGGGTTAGAATCAATTCAATGGCAGAAGGGGTTTTGTGTTCATTATTTTTTTGGTGAGAAAAATTTGTATTTAGAATTAGCCAGATGGACTCAGTTTGTTGTTTTTGTTGTTGTTATGTGCCATCAAGTCGCAACTCATAGCGACCCCATGTACAAGAGCCCTAAATCCTGCTCTATTCTGTGCCAACCTCACTGTCTCTGACACACTTACTCCCACCACCCCAAACACAAAATCAATCCATCTCACCAAGGGTCTTCCTCTCCTGCACTGTCCCTCCATCCTCCCAAACATGATGTTCCTCTCCAAGGACTGGTCCCTCCTTCAAACATATCCAAAGTATGTCAGATGAAGCTTCAGAATCCATGACTCCAAGGAGCAGCCCAGCTTCACCTTCTCCAGGACAAACCAGTTTGTTCTTCTAGCCATCCATGGTATGTACATTCAACACTCTTCTCCAGCACCACAGCTCAAAGGCATCAACTCTTTTTCTGTCATCCCTAGTCACTGTCCAGCTCTCTGATGCATAGCACGCAATTGTGAAGGCTATCACCCAGATCAGGTGCTTCTTAGTTTCCAGCCTGACGTCATTGCTCTTCAGTACTCTGGAGAGGTCCCTGACAGGTGACTTTCCCAATGCAATTCATTTCTTGATTTCCTGGCTGCTGGTACCAAGATTGTTGACTGTGAAGCCAAGCAAAGTAAAACTGTTAACCATCTCAATCTCTTCATCATCCATACTGATGCTGCCAATTGGCCCAGTGGTGAGAATCTTTGTTTTCTTGATGTTGAGCTTCAATCAGTATTGAAGGCTGCAGTGCTTGACCTTCTGCAGCAAGTGCTTCAGGTCCTCCTCAGTTTCAGCAAG